ATATACATATGTAAATATATAGCATTCGAATTCAATCATATATATTTACATATTTATTTGTTGTTGTTGTTGTTATGTGCCATGGAGTCAGTTCTGATTCATAGTGACCCTGTACAGGGTTTCTGAGGCTGTAAATCTTTATGGGAGCAGAAAGCCTCATCTTTCTCCCGCGGAACAGCTGGTAGTTTTGAACTGCCTACCTTAAGCATGGTTTTTTTTTAAACATAGGAAAGCAACTGCTTCTCCACATTTTATGAATGAGCACATTGAGTGACCCCAAGTTCACTTTCATAAAGCTAGGTGAACCTTTCTTCTAGATGTCTGGAGATGACGTTTGTTGGTGGTGTTAGGTGCCAGTTAGTCAGTTCTAGCTCACAGTAACCCTGTGTACAAGAGACGGAATCACTGCCTGGTCTCAGGACATCCTCACAATCACTGCCATGTTTGAGTCTGTCGTAGCCACTGTGTTAATATAGCTCCTTGAGAGTCTGCCTCTTTTTTGCTCATTTTCTACCCCAGGAATTCAGAGAGTGGCGCTATGGGTTAATGTGCTGGACTGCAAAGTTGGTTTGAACAGCAAGGCCGGCAGTTCAAGCTCACCAGCCACTCCTCGGAAATCTTATACAGGCTTGCTATGAGTCTGAACCAACTTTACATTAGGACTCCTGGTGTGCTGTAGGATCAACACTGGACTGCGAACCACAATGTCGGCAGTTCAAACCCACCAGCTGCTCCTTGGAATCCCTATACAGGGTTGCTATGAATCCTGATGTGGTGCTGTAGGTTAAGGCGCCAGACTGCAAAGCTGTTTGAACTGTAAGGTCGGCGGTTCAATCTCACCAGTCACTCCTCGGAAACCCTATACATGGTTGCTATGGGTCGGAATCGACTCGACGGCACTTCACAACAACAACAACATGAGTCCAAACTGCCTCAACAGCACTTCACAACAACAACTCTACCTTAGGAGCTCTGGTAGCATAGTGGTTATGAGTCAATCTGCTAACCTGAAGGTCAGCAGTTTGAAACTACCAAACATTCCTCAGGAGAAAGCTGAGGCTTTCTGCTCCAAGAAAGATTTACAGCCTCGGAAACCCTATAGAGGGTCACTATGAGTCAGAACCGGCTCCACAGCACATAACCAACAACCATCACTCTATTTTAATAAGAAATTTTACCAAGAATTTGGCAAAAGTCTTTACAGACCACAGCATAAACTCTTTTCAGACCACAGTAGAGATGAAGGGAAGTTTATAAAGACTTTTAGGAAACAAATCTTCCATTCATTTGAACATAGGGAAACAGCATCCGCTGAAACACCAGATGAAGGAATCCCATTTCCTCCCTGGGAGAGGTGATTCCCTTAAGCTTAGGCAATCTGGGAGGAGTAAGTAAGGAATGCTCAGACTCTGCTTAATTCTTTATTGTCTACTTCCCTGAGTCCAACTATCTCCACCAGAAGCTTCTACAACATTATCCATGAGGAACCTCTCCCATGCACACAACTGGATTGAGTTGAGTATGAAAAGTGGAATGGGCACCCCACTGGGTTCAGCATCACTCTGAAATGCAGAGATGAAGGTTGGCTTGCCCTGGACCATACATGGTGCCCAGTGTACAACAAACAGGGTCATGGCTTGTCCATGCCGGCACCTCTGCTGGACCATTAATTTTCTCTTCCTTTGCTTGTGTGGCACTTTCTCAACTTTTATCATACAAGCCTTCCCTGGTGCCCCATCACAACCCCAAACAGGGCTCCATGGAACCCACGTGACCCTAGTTGTACCATCATCATAACGATTATTAAATCATCTAAGACTTCTTCAAAAGCTTTGAGAAGCAAAGAAGTCACTTGGATGACTAGAGTGTGCTTGATCTAAGCCACAGGTTTTTTGTTTTTTATTCCCTTCCACCTCATAAGCGTGTGAAAGCCGGACAATGAAAGAGGAAGACAGAAAGAGAAGTAATGCATATGATTTGTGATGTTGATAAAGAATGCTGAATGGACCCTGGATTTCCAGGAAAATGAACAAATCAGTCTTAGAAGACATACAACCAGAATGTTCCTTAGAAGTGAGGATGGTGAGATTTTGGATCACTTGCTTTGGAGACATCATCAGAAAAGACCACATCCTAGGAAGGGCATTGTTTTTCGGTCAGCAAAAATGAGGGGACCCCTCAATAACTCTAACTATATGGTCACAGTAATGGACTCAGACGCATCAATGGTCATGATGATGGCATGGGACCAGGCAACATCTCCTTCCATTGCACATGAGGTCACTCTGAGTCAGAGCTGACTTGACAGCAATTAACAACACTATTTTATTCATTTCTCTGGGTTCTTTCATATGTTGTCCTCTCTGCTTAGAAGATTCATCTATCCTAGATACTCCAACTAGAAAATGTTTAAGCAGCCAACACCCATGTCACCATCTCTAGGATGATCTCTTTGACTTTCCTGTGCCAGGCAGGCTCTTACTGCTCTGTGGCCTACCACGTGTGGTCCATGTCCTCCCCATCACAGATTTCACCAGTCTGGCTGCCCTCTACGTTTTCTGTATAGACTGTGAGTTCACAGAACACAGAGATCATGCTGAGTTGTCTTTATCTCTACAGCCTTAGGGTCTAACATCCAGGCAGCACTCAATAAATAGTTGCTGAATTGAACTTCCTTGCTGTCGTCTATGGAATCAGATTACATTAAAGCATTCGATGAAGAATTAAACATGATGGGAACAGCATGATTTTGCTGTCAATCTGTCAATCATTCTTGGGTTTGAATGCTGGCTTTCTCACTGACCAGATCTATGATTATGAAACAAATGATCCTCATTCCTGAGGTCCAGCAGTGGAAGGTGTTGTTAGCATCCGAGCTTTGCTGGTAATCCAGGTAAAAGCACAGATAGGATCAAAGTGAAGAAGGGGGAAACCTACCATAGTGGAAAGTGCAGGCAAAGCTGCTGGGACCCCCGTGAGCTGCGGCATGCACCCAGATGATGCAGGATGAGCAGAGGAGGGCCCGGGGTCAGCTTCCTTCAGGCAGACCTTACAGTCCCTTCAATCCTTCCCATATTCTCTTCTCCCTCAGGACTGTGCTTTCTGCCTCTCCCCCATCTCTCTCCTCATTGGGCACAAACCCTTGCTCAGACACCAAGTCTCTACCACCTAAACTCTCCTGCTGCAAAATTGTCTCTGATGTCTGTCTAATGTCCAGTAAACGCTGTCTGCTATTCAGCCCTGTGATGTCCAACAATCTGCTCATTATATCTGCCCTGGGTGTGGCACTGTAGGCTAAGCACTGGAAAGCTAATTGCAAGGTTGGTGGTTCAAACACACCAGCTGCTCCTTGGAAACCCTATACAAGTTTCTATGACCTGATTCAATGGCACTTAACAATAACAACAGCTATTATATGGGGTGGGGGTTCCTGGTGTGGCACTGCAGGATTAACACTGGACTGCTAACAGCAAGGTTAACTTCTTAGAAACCCTATACTGGGTCACTGTGAGTTGGAACCGACTTGATGGCACTTAACAACAAATCTGTTTTAATTGCTGGTTAATTTGTCTTCCTGACCCCAAACTCGTTACCATCAAGTCAATTCCAAATCACAGTGACCAGAGAGGGCAGACTAGAACGGCCCCACAGGGTTTCCAACGCTGCAGATGTGGCAGATGGAGACTGCCACATCTTTCTTCTACAGAGAGATTTCCTTTTCAAACCACCCACCTTTCAGTTATCAGTCAAGTAGCTAACCACTGGTCCCCCGGGGCTCCTTCTCCCTGCCCTGCTCTGCCGCTGTTGGTGGTAAGTGCCTTAGAGTTGGTTGTGACTCATAGAAACCCTGCCTGTACAGGGTTTTAGAGGAGAGGTTGGTGGGTTTGAACCACTGACCTTAAGGTTAGTCATCCATGTCTTATTCTACAGCGCCACACCAGAAGTCCACTATACCTACCACAAAATGCCTGGAAGGCAGAATCACCTCCTCCTTGGTGCACGTTGGAGCCATACTACCCAGCATGTTCCTGGTCCAAGGAGAGGGAGTGTGGAGAGATGCCTTACCCAGGAGGATGACGATGCAGGCCAGGATGGCCACCAGCGCGCCTGTGCTCAGCCCGGCATTGAGGATGTAGGCTTCCGCGTTGCAGGAGAGCAGCACCCCGTGCATGTCACAGCCGCAGACCTTGATGGTGAGGGTGTTGGTGCTGCTCATGGGTGGGATACCACCATCACTGATCACAATGGGCAAGAGGTATAAATCCTGCTTCTGCCGACTGAAGCCTCCGCGCCGGGCATACACACCTGCTGTGTTATCTGTTGGCAGAGGCAAGATAAGGGACGCTGTTGGATTAAGACCATTCCCTTTGACAAATTTGAGGGCATGCTTTTCATCACAAAAGGTTAACAACTCCAATCTTCTTCACTTGTTCTTTAATGTGAATATCTATAGACACCACATTCACTAGGTAGGATCAGATCACGAGTAATCTCTCTCCATTTCAGAACAAAAGTCAGAAATTGGTCCCATTCTACTTGGCAGCTTGCCTTCATTGGCACGCTAACTACGCCAATTTCTGCAAGGTTGTTCGCCCCTTAATCAAATACAACAAGAAAGTACAGACCTCAACTACATCATATATGCTCCCATGTTGCTGCTATGATGTTAAGTGTCACTCAGTCAGTATCAACTCATAATGACCCTGAATAGGGCTTCTGAGGGATGACTGGTGTGTTTGAACAGCCAGCCTTGTAGTTAGCAGCGTATCCTAGAGAGCCACACCAGGACTCCATTAGGAAATGATCACATGTTTAAGGGGATGGGAGGGGTGAAAAAGAAAGCTTCAAACTAAACAGTAGTTATTCCGCTTTATGAGTTTCTATTGTTGTTGTTGTTGTTAGGTATCATAGCGACCTTATGCACAGCAGAACAAAACACTGCCCGATCCTGGGCCAACCTCACTACTGTTGCCACGCTTGAGTCCATCGATGCTGCCAGTTGGCCAATCCATCTCACTTGGGGTCTTCTCTTTTTCTTTTGATGGTGATGGAAAATTCGGTAGAAATTATTGGTGAGGGTCACACTAATATTGTCGCTATCACTAAACTGTACAGTGAAGTACATCGGGACTGACAAGTGTTGTGTTTTATACATGTATAAGTAGACTTCAAAAAGTTCATGGAAAAATAACATGAAAAGATAATACAATTTTTCCACGAACTTTTGGAAATCCCCCCGTGTAGTAACAGTAAGACGTGAGCTTCTCTTTCATGTTAGCAATTTCCTGACAGAACAGCAAGACTCTGGCCAGTTTTTGTTGTTTTGTCGTTGAGAGACTCCAAGTCTGCTTTCAAACCTTATTTAAACTGTGGATCCATGAGCCACAAAGGAAAATATATGATTTAAAGTAGCAGAACTGGATCAACCTAAAAGGAATCCTGGTGTGGCGCTGTGGGCTAATGCATCAGACTGCAAAGTCATTTGAACTGCAAGGTTGGTGGTTCAAGCTCACCAGCTGCTCCTCAGAAACCCTATACAGGGTCGCTATAGGTTGGAATCGACTCGACAATACTAAACAACAACAAAAGCAGTTCTATGCTTTCACTGAAACTCAAAAGCCACTGCCCACCAGCTAACCACGTCACACCTCTGTTTAAAATGATTCCAAGTCTTTTCTGTTCTCTACATTACCAGCTCTGGTAGCGTAGTGGTTACGAATCGGGCTGCGAACCTTAAGGTCAGTGGTTCGAAACTACCAGCCGCTCCGCGGGAGAAAGATGAGGCTTTCTACTCCCGTAAAGATTTACAGCCTCGGAAACCCTGTACTGGGTTGCTATGGGTCAGAACTGACTCGACGGCACTTAACAACAACAACAACAACCTCTGCACAACAGCCCACTAGTTATCTCCCTAATCCAGACTTTGCCTTGGGTACAGTGTGGGTGCAGAGGTAGAGTCCTCGCCTTCCATGTGGGAGACCTGAGTTCGATTCCCTGCCAATGCACTTAATGCGCAGCCATCACCTGACTCTCAGTGGAGGGTTGTATGCTGCTCTGACACTGAGCAGGTCCCAGTGGGGCTTTCAGACTTAAATGGACTAGGAAGAAAGTCCTGGCAATCTACTTCTGAAAAACAAGTAGTGCAAACCCTACAGATCCCAGCAGTTCAAACACATCATGGGGATAGCGTTAGACTGGGTGACATTTGGTTCCATTGTGGGTGGGCTCACAATGAGGTAGAGGCCAATTTGAGGGCAGCTACCAACGAATCGGGCTGCAAACCCTAAGGTCAGCGGTTCGAAACTACCAGCCGCTCCGCGGGAGAAAGATGAGGCTTTCTACTCCCGTAAAGATTTACACCCTTGGAAACCCTGTACAGGGTCGCTATGGGTCGGACCCGACTCGATGGCACTTAACAACAACAACAACAACCAACAACACTAGAGTTCTGGTGTGGCGTTGTGGGTTAACACGCCAGACTGCAAAGCCGTTTGAACTGCAAGGTCAACGGTTCAAACTCACCAGTCACTCCTTGGAAACCCTATGCAGGGTCGCTATGGGTTGGAACTGACTCAGCGGCATTTAACAACAACAAACCAACAACACCAGCTGCTCCTTGGAAACTCTCTACAGGGTCGCTGTGGGTCAGAATTGACTCGACAGCACTTAACAACAACAACAACAACCAACAACTGGTGTGGCACTGTAGAATATGCACTGGACTGCTAACCTCAAGTTCGGTGGTTCAAATTAACCAGCCACTCCTGGGAAACCCTATACAGCATTGCTGAGTCAGAACCTATTCGATGGCACCTAAGAACAACACTACAACCAACAACTCTTTTATATACCCTAGTCTTTTACATAATGCCTGGTGGCAGAGCGGGTTACATGTAGGGCTGCTAACTACAAAGTCAGTCGTTCAAAGTCACCACTCATTCCATGGGAGCAAGAGGAGGCTGTCTGCTCCCCTTCAGATCCACAGCATTGGAAACCCTGTATAGGCTCGCTATGAGTCAGAATCAACGTGACATCACACACCCAACCAACCAAGCATTCCTTGAACAGGAGTACTGGTGTGGCACTGTAGGATAAGCACTGGACTACAAGGTCAGCAGTTCAAACCCTCCAACTGCTCCTTGGAAACACTATACAGGGTCACTATGAGTTGGAACCAATTCAACAATACTTAACAACAACAAGAAACCAACAGTAGATATTTCCTTGCCCTCCGGGCTCACACCTTGCCCCTTCCCCCATATACCAGTCCAGCCTGACATGAAAAACTATCTTCTGTTCTCCAAGCACGCCACGCTCTTGCATGCACCTTATACCCCTTACTCTCCTGCCATTAACTCTTCCTTATTTGGTGATAGGTGAACTTTCCAAGGGTCGAAATTGAACTCAAAATTCATTTCTTCAGGGCAGCCTCCCTGGTTCGCTCTTATTGCTTCTTTGTGATAACCCTACACACCCCTCACACACCTGTGTCCCACTGGGGTCTTCCATTACCACCTCAACCTCTACCAGATGATGAGTTTCTTGAGAAGAGGTGTTTTGCTGATTCATTCCCTTTTCTCCAGTGCCTGACACACAGCAGACACACAGAAAGTATTTACTGAACAAATGGCATGGCTGCACTCGGGGAAAAGTTTAACCAAAATTCCAGATGTTGGCTTTCATGTGCATCAGGCTTTCTCAATTTTTCATAGCCTGGATCTACAAAAAGCTTCCTTGACATGGTGTCTGCACTACTCTACCAAGCAAATATATTTCCCCTGGCCTTTTTTTCCCTGGGAAAACACACATATTATTAAGCAGTAGACATTGTGAGTGTTTTTCATTGTTGTTGATATTAAGAGTTGTAGAGTTGGTTCTGACTCATAGCAAGTCTATATAGGGTTCCCAAGGAGTAGCTGGTGGGTTTGAACTGTCAACCTTGCAGTTAGCTTGAGGTTGACAGTGTAGTGCTTACCCTACAGCACCACACTAGGAGAGGACTTGAAACCTGTCATTCCTCAGAAACCCTGTACAGGATTGCTATGAGTCAGAACCTACTCAATGGCACTTAACAACAACACAACAACAACCAACAACTATTTTATATATAGGATCAGCTTGGACCACAAACCACAACGTCAGTGGTTCAAACCCACCAGCAATGTATTGATCAAAGCATGGCAGTACAGCTATGACCTCAATTCTATAGTTTGAGTTTTGCATGTATGACACACACATTGCTCTTTGTGTCATTGTTTTTGTTTAGTGTTATTGAGTCAGTTCCGACTCATAGCAAGGGTTTCTGAGGACCAGCTGGTGGATTTGAACCACTGACCTTGCAGTTCAAACTGATCTTGCAGTCCAGTGCCAAACCAGGATTCCACATTGCTCTTTATGGTTGTTAAGTGATTCCTAGTCAATTCTGACTCATAGCAACCCTGTATAGGGCTTCCAAGTTACAGCTGATGGGTTTGAACTGCCAACCTTATGGCTCACAGTCCAGTGCTGATCCTGCGGTACCACACTGGGAGTCTAGATTGCTCTTAGAAATGGGGAAATTTCTATAAACTATGATCAAATAAATGCTAACTGACAATCCCACTCCTTAATGATTTCCAGGTGATACCATTGTTCCACACTGAGCAATGAAAAACAACAAAACTTGTAGGTCCATGAAGTTCTGGTGTGGCACAGAAGGATAAGCACTGGATTGCTAATGCAAAGGCTGGTAGTTCTAACTCACAAGCCATTCTTCAGGCATCTTATATGCGGAGTGACCGTGAACTGGGCCACACCAAGCAGTACTAAACAGCAACAAGACAATACATTGTTTGAAAAGAAGTTATTTTTTTTCTTATAGATTGCTTTGAGTTCACATCAAGTGTTTACAAATAAAAAGTGGCATCTCCCTAGTGGAGGAACTAGGATGGTGTCACCCACTGTGGTAACTCAGGGTGTCACCTGTGAGCAGGGCAGCCCCTGTGGGTGGAGCAATCTAGCCAGGCTCTGCCCCCTGTGGCTCCCACAGCTCCCTGCTCTCCCATTGGCCAAGGTGGAGCACTGGCTGGTGATGGAGGGCAAAGGAGTGTTGGAGCTGAGTTACCAGTGATGTCATTGCCTTAGTGGCCCCTCCTCCTTCAGTGACATCAACCCTCCGGCCTACTTGTCTGCAGCTGTCATTGCAAAGCCTGGGATCACAGTTGTGTTATCCCCTCTGACAGTGTTGGGGGTGTGGTTTGATCCCCACTTCTACTCGCCCCCATACTGCATCAACTACCATTTTAAAGAGATGAAAAGCCTCCAATGCCATCATGAAT